CCACTTCTTCGGATGCATCCGAAGAAGTGGGCTGTAGTCCACGAAAGCTTATGCTCTAATAAATTTGTTAGTCTCTAAGGTGCCACAAGTCCTCCTGTTCTTCTTTTTGCTATTTTCTTACTATCCCTTTCCTAATGACCCCGAACACTCGCTTAGCTTTTTGGATGGCTGCTGCACGCTTTGCCCGGGCGCCAGTTCCACGCACCCCAACATGCCACGGATTCATTGCTGTTAATTTTATGAGGGTCACAAGCACGGCCATGAAACAAGCCAGCCCCCACAGTGGAGCCTTAGCGGAAGCCCCCGTGCGCGGCGCGCGGACACGCACGTGCCCAAACACGTTGGCGAGCCGCGAGCGTACACAAGGGCTGCGGCAGCGGCTGTAACCAGACGCTCTCGGCAAGTCCCGCGAGAAGGATCCTTCTCCGCGAGATTTCCGTTTCCCCTTCCCCTCCGCTTCTTGGGCAGCTAGTGGCAGCCGCGGCCTCACGCTCCTTCCGGTTCTGCGGCAGCCTGCCCCCGCCGGGGCCGGGCTGGCTGCGAGGACAGAGCCAATGGAGGGCACGGGGGCCCCCCGCCCCGGGGAGCCTGTGCCGAAGCGGGCCCCGCCGCGGGAAGCGACTTAGGGGCGCCCGTCCCGCTGAAGGGAGACCCAGAAGAGCTGAAGCAGGTGAGCGGCAGCCTCCCCCGGGGCTCCGAGCCCGCAGCCAGGCGGGGAGCTCGCGGTTCGGTGGGGCCTGCTCCGCTTGTGGGCTCCGCTCCCGCACCCCCCTCACACGATGTTCTAGAGCCGGGGTGCCCACTCCTCTCCCCCGTCTACACACACGCCGCGGTGTTTGCCCTGCGGACTCACACCTGTGTCCATAGCCGGGGTATCGCCCACTTTATCCCCCTGCGGTGCGTGGGAGGGGGTGTCCGCAAGCCGGGGGCATGGCCAACCGCACCGTCTGCCAGCATGCGGCCCGGTTGGCACCTGTCGGATTCCCAGGTGTCACTCAAGCACACTGACATGGTGGCAGTTTCCCATTGTCTCGGTGCCTGTCAGCCTTCAACTCCCCATACCTCCAGTTATAAAGAGTGCGCTGTGAAGTGACTGTTCCACTCCGCCCCTGGGTTTTCTTTTGACACGTGGAATGGGCTGCCACTTAGGGATAGTGTACACTAAAAGCCGTGCAGCTGCACTGATGCAACTGTGCCACTCTAGTGCATGGGGTGAAGACACTGTATGCTGACAGGAGAGAGCTGGCTTATTCACACTCCTGTGGGACATAGGTTATACCAACATAAGTGGTAGTGTGTACAAACCCTAAGTGCAAAGTAGGGAAGAGGAGCATGGTCTGAGCACAGCCCTGGATGCTGGCACACTCATATTCATTCTAGACACAGACCCTCTCTGACTTTGGGAAACAGACTTTCCCTGTCTTGAAGAGGGGAAACAAATATGGGCCTACTCCAGAGGAGTTGCTAGGACTTTATTTCTCTAGGATAAGGGAGTGCTTGTAAAGTACTTTGATAAAAAAATGCTAAATTTAGATAAAATAGACATCTGTTTATCTTGTCAACATTGCACCTTGCAATGATCAATACTGAGTTCAATTTCTTTCATTGGATTCTGCTCCATAGAGGTGACCTGATTTCAGGGTAAACATGTAAAGGCGCCTTTTTAAACATTGGCAATTATTAATAAGTGTCCTATATGCAATTAGAGAGAGGTTCATTAGCCACCCTCTTTCAGCGTAACTCATAACACCACACATCTAGCTTCAGTTTCTCTTCTATCACAGTAGGAATGGCTTCTAGAGAATACCCCTTAAGTACAATTCAGTCAGTTTAATAGGTGGGGTGCATTGCTGCCGACACTGCAGTTTGACATCTGTTCCACCTTGTATTTAGCTGTGACACTCTGAGTGCCTTTTCCAGACCTGTAGAAGAACTCTGTATAGCTTGAAAGCTTGTCTCTTTCACCAACAGACATTGAGCCAATAAAAGATATTACCTCACCCTCCTTGTGTCCTTGGACAGCTAAAACTGCACTGTAAACATGTAGTAAACTGACATACCCTATGAGGATAATGATGAACTGCTACCACAATGCAAACTTCCTAGTACACCAAATTACTCTGTGTAGTGCTGTGGTGCCTGAGCTGCAGGGGAAAGAAGAGGAGCTCTCCAGAGCCACTGTTGGGATGTTTTTCAATAAAGAAACCAGCATAGCCTTAAATTCTCTCTTCAAACCATTTCCCCTTCTTGCCTGCCTTCATTCTCATTGCTCTGCCTTCCCCTCTTCCTCCCCTGCAAAAAAAAATCCTACTCTCCTTAATATTTCTTTGGTATTTTAATGCAACAGCCAAAACTAGGGTTTGGGGCATAGCTAGTGAATCTTTGTTGTGTTTAGCTGTACTGTAACTATGCTTGTGTGCCCCATTGGGCTGCAAAGCCAAGCCCTCTGAAAATAGTCATTAGAAATGAAATATAAGGGTCCCTCTGGTCTCACTAAACTCAGGGTTGCTAACCTTTCTTATAAAAAAGAATATTACAAATGCGTGGCTCTACAAGATAATCAGTTTTTATTATTTATTTGCTCTGCACTGACAGAGTATTTGGTTCTGTACAAGACCAATAAAAATTGTTATTGTTAGGATTTCAGTTTCTAGTATAGCTTAATTGGTACAGATCCCTAGTGTAGATCTGATCTGAGGAAGTTCGCTTCAGTTTCAAATTAAAGTAAACTGTACGGTATAAATTGTCTAGAGTAGGGGTTTGCATGGTGCAGCTACACAAGTGTCAGAAATCCCAGTGTAGACAAGATGAAGCTGCCCTGAGGCAATCATCTAAAAGAATTTTCATGTTTGTTGTCACATAAGCGATTACTGGTTATATTACTGTTGCATATTCAGACTTTACACCTATTGTATGCAGCATTGGCAAACTAGAAGCTCTAGTAAAGAGACATACAGGAACAGGCCCCAGTTCAGGTCTTTGGGGGGGGTCTGCCTGGGCTTAAGGGTCTGTTCACTCAGATTCATTTGCAGAATCAGGACCTTTCCTACACACAGCATGCACATTACTGCTATATAACAGTAACTTTGGGGTAGAGAATGAGCAACTGGCACATTGCAAAACAGCTGAACACCAGAATGAGGGCTTGTTTCAGTTTTCTAAGGCCAGGTCTACACTAACCCCCTAATTCGAACTAAGGTACGGAACTTCAGCTACGTGAATAACGTAGCTGAAGTTCGAAGTACCTTAGTTCGAACTTACCTTGGTCCACACTCGGCAGGCAGGCTCCCCCGTCGACTCCGT